AAAAGTTTATTTAAACATTTATCAGAGTAAATAATAAGAATAAATTTCTTCGACCAATTGGCTGTTTTTTTTTATTATTTCTAGATGTTTACGCATTTTTTCACTTGCCACAAGGTTGAACGATCAGGTGCGGTAGTTGCTAGATAGCTGTTCTGTGACTTATACGTTGAAGTTCTTCTCAATATCGTTAAATTTTTTAGGCTGTACTTAAACTGCCGTTAAACGGTAGCTTACTAAAATGCCGTTAATAGGTATGACGTCGTTGATGTGACGCACTTGACGGCTTTATGAAATATAGGAATTTTATAAGGACTAACGAACGCTATCCACCCCACCAAATAACCAACTTAACCAACGCAGCTAACCGCGACACTGATAAAAAAATTTAAAAAACAAATATAAATTAGTAAAAACCAACCAACCCCACCAAATAACCAACTAACCAATGAATTAACACCCTCCAAATAATCACGCTAACCAACCCGCCAAATAACTAAACCAATCCAACCAAAAAGAGTGAAACCAATGCAATAAGATCACGCTATAAGCAAAAAAAAATATAAAAAAGTGTTGGTCAGCGTGAGATTTGAACCCCGGACCTTTCGCTCACGAACAGATAGCCTCAGCCACGGAGCCACAGGTGCTCTTGCAATATGCTTATGGCTAGGCATTACTTTCCGCCGACATGAACGACGTCACAATATCTATTAACGGCATTTTAGTAGGCTACCGTTTAACGGCTGTTTAAGTACATCGAATTTTTTAACAATTATTATGGTGTACTCACTTGCAGAAAAAGTGGAAATAATCGAACTTTATTTTAAAAATAATGAATGTGGCAATCGGGTTGCGCAGATATTCAATGAACGCCATCCTGACAACCATAAAGGTGGTTGTAAGGCAAAATTTTTCGCGAGTTAGTAGCAAAGTGTCCAAAGGATATTAAAAAAACGGAAGTTCCACCCGTACAAAATTCAGTTGGTACAAGAACTCAACGAAGACGATTTTGATCGTCGCTTGCAATTTTGTGAAACTATGAGTGAACGAGTGGCGAATGATAATAATTTTCTATTTAATGTGTGTTTTTTGGATGAGTGTACTTTCTTTTTGAACGGTGTAGTTAATCGGCACAACTGGTCGGTACTATACTAGGCTGAAGACAACCTCAGGGTTTTTTCACGAGGTGCACACACAAAACCCTCATAAATTGAACGGTTGGGCTGGTATTTTTGGAAATTCTATTGTGAGTCAGTTTAACGATATTGAGAAGAACTTCAACGTACAAGTCACAGAACAGCTATCTAGCAACTATACCGCACCTGATCGTTCAACCTTGTGGCAAGTGAAAAATGCGTAAACATCTAGAAATAATAAGAAAAAACCTGAAATTGGTCGAAAGAATTTATCCTTATCCTTTACTCTGATAAATGTTTCAATAAACTTTTCAAATTTCAATCCTTCATATTTTCTCAATGACTCGACGGATTTTCAAAAACGAGGCGGGGAAATATAAAGAATAGAAAGGTCTTTTCATTGCGGTGCCACTTGACCCCCCTTCTCATTTGAAAAAAGTTGGGGATGACACCCCCGCTTAGAGGGTTGAAGATTTCGCAATCATTTTTGGGGCAAAAGTTGTCCCCCTCACAAACAAAATTGACGTGTTTTTGGATTTTTTGAAAAAAAGAATACCCTGGCCGTTATGCCTTGCGGAACGTTTTCGATGGGCCACCCTGTATAATTCATTTTTAATAGCAGCATTTGTTTTTTAAACTGTTACATACTATTCAATACATGTTTTGAACAAAAAAAACATGTTTGTAATTGTTCTGAAAATTAACCGTTTTATTTTAGTACGAGAGCTAGCAACGTCGGGAAAATAAGTATTTTAAGACGTCTGGCTTTTTGATACATCTTTTACTATGCTCTCTAGAACAGCATGCGGCATGCGGCCCGTCTGGCTGCCGGTAAACGTTGCGTTCCCTACTGCGCATTGAAAGAAGATCCTATATTTTTATTAGTCCTTTAAATTCTAGTATTGAATATAAATCGAACATGTCTCCATAGCTCAGTGCGCCGAGTTTCCGAACAGGAACCGAAGATTCGAACGAAATTCGATCCGAAGTTCAAATCCGGGTCAGGTCAGACTTTTTTATTTTTATTTTCGTTTATATTCTGATAGTAAAGTATTAAATATTTGTTTTTTTTTAATTACCAGAATTATTTAATACTTTACTGTCAGAATATAAACGAAAATAAAATAAAAAAGTCTTTGACCTGACCCGGATTTGAACTCTGAATCTTCGGTTCGTGGTCGGAAACTCTACGCACTGCGCTATGGAGACATGTTCGATGTATATTCAATACTAGAATTTATAGGACTAAATTAATAAAAAAATATAGGATCTTCTTCCGATGCGCAGTAGTAAACGCAACGGGTATCGGCAGCCAGACGGGCCGCATGCTGTTCCAGAGAGCATAGTAAAAGATATATCAAAGAGCCAGACGTTTTAAAACACTTTCTCGAAAACGTTGACTATTAGACTATTTTATGTGGTTTTCGTCTACTTCTTCTTTACGTGCCGTCTCTTTCGTGGAGGTTGGCGATCACATTGGCAAAATCTTCACGATTCTCGGCTTTCCTTATAAGTTCTTCAAAAGTTAGGTGAGTCCAGTTTCTGATGTTTCTCAACCAAGATAGTTTCTTCCTGCCGAGACCTCTCTTTCCTTCAATCTTACCCTTAACTATCAATTGTAAGACGTGGTATTTTTCTTTTCTCAATATATGCCCTAAGTATGATGTTTTTCTTATTTTTATTATATTGGGCAATTCCCTCTCTCTGCTTATTCTGTTGTAGACTTCGGTATTTGTGATATGGGCTGTCCATAGAATTTTAAGCATTCTTCGATATATCCATGTTTTGAACGATTCGAGGCGATTCATCTCCTGAACTTTCAGTGTCCATTTTTCCTTTTTTTTTCTTTTCGTCAACAATAAATTAATAATATAAAAGTAATCTAAGGAAATCGACATTCGGTAATATACGAAAATTTATATTAATTTTAAAAAATAGGTACTTAATGAAACTGTAAAGAAATTTTAAATAAATTAATCTCCTGATTTCGCTAACACTAAAATCGATGTATCGGAACCTTTAAAAGCAAATATCTTGAAAACAGTTCACAGGTTTCGAACTTAATGAAGACCACCTTTTTTACATAAAAAGTCCTCTAGCTTTAATTCTCAATAATTATTGAAATTACTGTATCTATAAAGATAAAAGAAGTACAACCAGTAGTACATCTACCCTAATGGAAAGTACCCTTTCAGGGCTGTTCTGCGGAATTTTACATTATCTTCATTCGCTTGGGCATTAAAATATATGTGTTAGAGTACCAAATTTCAAGAAAAACGGTTTACCGATGTTCTTAAAAATAAACAATATATATCATTTTTAGTTACTCTTTCGAGTGCTGTAACTTCTTGGGAAAGCATTTTAGGACATATATTATGTTCATGAACTTTTTGTTTTATTTTTATCTGTTGAATCACCCACCGAAATTAGATAAACTATTTTTTGACACCCTGTATTAAAATATTAATAAAGTGCATTATACATACAAACAGCTTAAAAGAATCAATCATTCTATACATTTCTGCAGCGTATAAATCAGCACAAATTTTACTTACATTTTAGAAGAGAATGGCCACATTTTCTGACGGCAAACCTCTTCATTTTTATAGCCAACACACTATTCAAGTTTCAGAATAAACATATAGTTTTAACACGATTTTTTGAAACAGAACTTTATCACAGCTTAATATTAAATAATAATTAAATAATAATCAATTTGTGTTATTTTTTACCGATACTATTTACAAATCTACCGACGCGAAGCGCGACGCGAATTTTGATGAAGAAAAACAATTGAATTACTTTTAACAAAAATAATTAAAGTGGCGCCATCTATGAACGAAATTAGAAATTAATTTTTTATTGTTGTGGCGCCATCTATGAAGTAAATTGGAAATTTATCTTTTTAATATTTCATGGCTTTCAAATTTATTGTAATTTTTTGAATACAATTTCTTTTTAAAGAAAAACAGAGTATAGATAGATATCTATATTCTGTTTTTCTTTTACAGACTGAATTTTTCAGCCTGTTTGCTATATATTAACTTTGATAAATTATTGTTTGTACCAATAAAATTTACATACAGTATGAAGTATGACCCCAGATTATCTTTACAAGAGGAAAAACTTTTTTATTATTGACATTTTGAGAAAAATGAATTGTTCATAAAAATGTTTGCTTGTCCTGAAATAAAAAAAAACATGAAAATATGGTTGGATTTCCTAAATAAGGTTGAAAAGTCCTAAGAATCAAAACACGTTTCTTTGGTAATATAATTTCGATTTCATTCTTTGGTAGATGGTTATTATTAATTTTGATTAACGTCATATTTTTTGCTGTTGTTAAAGTGTCATATCTTCCAATAACTATTATATCAATAACTAATAATATTATTATTATTATTATTTATACCCTTTCCGTGGCATTAAACTAAATAAATTTTGTGCTTATTTTTAGTTTTCATTTTAAAGCAGCAATAAATATGACGTTAATTAAAAAACTCTATCAATAACAATCTATCAAAGGATGACCATAGCTGACCATAGAAACGCTTTTTGAATTTTAGGAAAATTTAACAATATTTTGACATTTTTTTTAAATTTTCTCTAAAACGGTAAGGAAATTTGGAAAAGTATAAACGGGATGGGATAAATCATTTTTGAACAAGCACACATGTTTATAAAGAATGCATTTTTCTCAAACTGTCAATAATAAAAGTTTTTTGTCTTGTAAAGACAATCCAGGGTGACATACTGTATACCTACATTAAAAATACCAAGAAGAGATATGGAAGAGATCATAACAAATATATTAATTAAATGCAAAAACAGTACCATAGAGTAAGAGAATAAAATAAATCTTACAAATACCTACGAAACCCTTTTATTGGACCAAATAATGTTACAATTCATCAAATTTTCCATACATTCAGCTCAACTTAATTTTTTACATATAAAATTATAACACATTTGTTTTAATATTGTAAAGTGAATTAACTCAAAAAAATGTAAAATAAATAGTGACCAGTCTAATTCTAAACATCTTTATAAAATGTGACTTAAACCAATTAAAACTTAACATTAGACTACTGCTTCAATGCTTCTTGAAGCTTTCTTCTCACTGCAGAAACTCGTTCTTCTTGTTTTTTAATATCTTCTTCGGATATATTCACAGACTGGACTAGAGGTTGCTTTGGGTCAAGAAAAACACCAGGATTTTTCTCTAAGGAAGTCTTTGTACCTGTCTGCCCTAAGATACATGTTTTAAATTACCACAAAATAGATGAAATAATATTTACCAACCTGTAACAGAACTAGACGAAACATGCAGAGCTGTTGCTACACTCTGTATGATGGTCTCTTCAGTAACATTGGGTCCCACAGGCTTCAATCCTTTTGGAAGTTGCATGCCTTCGAATTCAACACCATCCACATCACAGGCTCTGAGTCCTTCAAGTCTCTTCTCCCAAAATAATTGTTTTGGCTTTTCTTGATTCCCGTTTTTATAATCTAGAAAAATATATATTAAGTAAGTATGAAATGGCGTCATCAAGTTTAGAACCAGGAAATGAAAAATAACCCTTTATTTAAAAAATTGCCGAGGTTTCGACATAATATTCTTGTCTTTTTCAAGGCTGCAGTACAGATAAAAAAACCCTACTTAAACAATAAAAATGTACGCGTGGCTCAGAATTCCTATTTTTTTATTTTTATATAATCAATCTCTGTTTAAAAAAGGCTACACATTGGAAAATACCACAAATACAACAGCAAAGCAAGAAAGAAATTTATAAAAGAAAAACATATTATACACAGAAATAATTAAATATACGAAAAATGCAAAGACATTATTTATGTTTTCCTTTTTTAAGCTTCTTTCTTTTGTTTTGCTGTTTATTTATATATTGTATTTCCCAATGTGTACTGGCTTTTAAACAGATATCTATACTAATATATAAAATCCTTAAGTGACTGACTCACTGATTAATCACGATCCTGCTGAAACCACTCAACGTAAGAAGCTCAATTTTGGCATACCGGTTGATTCTAGGGTGTAGAGGTTCAATAAGGAGGGATTTTTCGAAATTCCAGTTCCAAGGGGGTGAAACCACCCTTTAAAATTGTGAAACCACCCATTTAAATTATAAACCACCCATAAAAAAATTACAATATTTTTTTATTTAACGGTCAAGTTTCCGAAAAACGCTTAAACACGTATATTTTATTTTGTTTTTTTTTACATATTTTAAGATTTTTTAAAAATGTATACAGGGTGTTTCGAAAAAATGTGAGAAAATTTTATCCAGTCTGTATGTTAATGGAAATTCTTGCTTTGCTTTTTCTTCACCATTACAAATGATTAATTCGACGCGAACGAAGTCGCGGGTACACGCTAGTTGATTATATAAAAATTAAAAAATAGGACTTCTGAGCAACACTAAAATGCATACATAGTCTCTAATACATATATAGGGTGGCGCACCTCATTCGCCTCGGTTGATTATACGAAAACGGAAAGATGTAGAAACAAAATATTTTATGGGTACATGTGGGAAAGCGACGTGCATAATTTAATTTTTTGATCCATACCAAAGTTATGTTTTTTCTTATGGAACACCCGGTATTTTATTTCATTTTTGGATTCTTGGGCATAAAATAAGGCATTTATTATAAGGGTTTAATATGTTTAAAAGCTTTGGTTTTTGAAATATTTAAAGATATTTAAATACCTATGCATGCTATAATAAAAAAGTTTGTCAACACCTCTTACATTACTTTTCAGAATTAATTCTTGTGCTGACTTTCAAGCCAGAGAAATAAACTTTACTAAAAAACTTGATTGCTTCGTTAAATTTATACAGGGGCATCAAAAATAGCTGGTCTATTTTAAATATTTATTTTACATAAAAACGTCGTTTTTTCAAATTCAACACCCTGTATTTTTTAAATAAGTCGAAGCAGATTTAAATGCTCTTTCAAGGGGTTAGCCTGAAGGGTTTATGCTCAAAGATATCCAAACAGGAATTTTCTTGACAAGCGTACTTTTGAAAAACAACTTTCCCTATTTCGCAGAGCTGATAGTGTGGTATATGAAAGACCTATTAGGCAGAAACCTGTCGTTGGAAGTGAAGAAAATGAATTTGCCTTAATTGGTTCTTTTATAGAAAATCCAATATTTCTACAAGTCATTGTAATATAAATCAAAAAGAACTACTTTATTTTTCTTGATAAAATAATGAATACTTACTTATTAAACTATTGTAGAAAAATTAAATAAAAGTAAACTGTTATAAATTTAAAGAAAGTCCATAAACCAATGTCAACTTTGAAAATAGCTAGTGTCACTAGAAAATTGCCATGGCGACACCAGCCATCTTGATTACAATTTTATTGAAAAATCGCTTTTTATTCAAAATCTGAGCCAAATAGGTATAGGAAACCCTAATACAGTTTGGAAGAGCATTTAAATCTGCTTCGATTTATTTAAAAAAATACAGGGTGTTGTATTTGAAATAACAAAGTTTTTATGTAAAATAAATATTTAAAATATACCAGCAATTTTTGATACCCCTGTATACATTTAAGGAAGCAATAATTTTTTTTAGTAAAGTTTATTTCCTTGGCTTCAAAGACAGCACTAGAACTAACTCTGAAAAATAATGTACAGGGTGTTGGCAAACTTTTTCATTATAGTATACATATTTAAATATCTTTAAATATCTCAAAAACCAAAGCATTTAAACATATTAAACCCTTATAATAAATGCCTGACTTTATGCCCAAGAATCCAAAAATTAAAGAAAATACCGGGTATTCCATAAGAAAAAATATAACTTTGGTATAGATCTTAGTTCTAACACACCCTGTATATTTGAAAATAATTTTAAATTATGCACATTGCCTGTCTACATATACCCATAAAAAATTATGTTTCTACATCTTTCCGTTTTCGTATAATCAACCGAGGCGAATGAGGTGCGCCACCCTGTATAGTCTAAGTAGTTTTTTTTCTCTGTATTGCAGCCTTGAAAAATATGAGAATATATGTCGAAACGTGAGCAATTTTTTAAATAGAGGGTTTTACATTTCCTGGTTCTAGAGCTGCAAACGCCATTTCATATACAGGGTGGTCTGTACTGTATTCTGGAAACTTCGGCGGCATATTCTGCAGATAAAAATAAGTAAAAAAACTTTATATAAATGTATGTCCTAAAATGCTTAGGAGATACAGGGTGTAGAAGTTTCATATTTATTTCGATTTTTTCCAAATAATTTCTGAAGTAACGTCAATATTTGAATGAAAATAGGTACCTGGGAGTTTTTTGACATGAGAAATTTCATGTTGATGTCAATATGACTTTTTTTTGTGGGCGCCACCTACATGTATTTTAACTGTTATGAAGAGTAATAACTTTTCATATGTACCTGTATAAAAAACTACTGAGTGAAAAAATATTCATTTCCGTGATTTTTTACGAATTACGAATTTTACGAAATTACAAATTATTTGGAAAAAATCGAAATAAAAAAGAAACTTCTACACCCTGTATCTCCAAAACTAAGCATTTTAGATACATTTAAACAAACTTTTTTGCTTATTTTTATCTGCAGAATATGTTGTCCAAGTTTCCGGAATACAGTTCGACCACTCTGTATAGAACAGAAGAACGCAAATCTAAAACGTTATGTCGTATATTGTAAGTTTGATGTAATCAATATGCATGAAATGAAAAATAATCTTATTTAAAATGTGAAACAAAATATCTGGTAAAACAGGACAAGGCAATATTTACAAGGCTTCCCAGAGTAATATTAAGTATCCACCGAGAAAGTGTAAATTTGATACCTTCAAAAACCCCTATTTTTAATTCAACCAGGTATCGTAAAATTACCACCTCCTACCATTTTCATTAATATCCTGTAAAATCTGATCAATTTACATTCTAGTAAGGTATAGTTTATGTAAAAACAACTATTCAGAGAACCTTCTTTGATATTTATGTTAAAATAATGTATAAAATTATTAATAAGAAAATTTACAGCCAACAGTTTAAATTTTATTAAAAAAATTGTCTATGCACTATGTGCACATATTTGAAGTGAAACTTCTTACTAACAGCTATTAAATAAAAGGATTTGAAGGATACATATTGCATAAAATGATCATTCTGCTTTCTGTTATATGTGTTTAGATCTCTACGGCTTAGCATTTGTTGACCGTTAAGTTATTTTACTGTCTTAAAATTACGAGTTTAGTTACCTGATTTAACTTTGCTCTCTTGCGTTTTATAAACTGTAACGGGCTGCTTAAAAATCGAAGCCGTTTGTCGAATCGGAGGCACTAAAGAGGCATCGTTTCTCATGCCCCTGCCGCTGTAATACAAATCGACTTTGCCCACCTGCAAACCGGTCTTGCGTAGCACGTCCTCTCGTTGGAATCGTTTCGGTAATTGGACGCATTCGTAGCGTGTTTTTTCAATCGTGATTCCACTCATTTTAAGCTTGAAATAATCAAAAACTTTGTACACAAATAGTAAACAAAACAATGGTCGAATTGTGAGGTTAGATTTTTTGACAGTCGGTAAAAAAGGGTGTAGTTTAGCTGGGAGCGGACGTGGTGCCAGCTCGCCGGCAATGTCGAAACTGAGAGGCGGGGTCCGAGCAGTTTTCTATTTTGTCGATAGATGAGGCGGCATATATGAATCGCCGCGCTTTCTGAATTTAAATATGAAAATACTTTAGCACGGTAAAAGACTTAAATTTTTAAGTTCCTCTATAATATTATAAGCACAGATTATAAGAGAATGAAATGTAAAATTATTTTTGTGGCTACCAGTTGATTTGTTATGCGGTATAAGGATATGATATGTAGATCAGGTTTTCTTTTTTTCGTTTTATTGATATGAATTTATTTGAGCAAAAAATAGATTAATATGACTAAGCATTAAAATTAAAACGGATATAAGTACTGTAAAATAGTAATTGTTAATGATTGTTACAGTGTATTATTAGTCATTGCAATATCTTGCAATAAATAAATTTAAGTACCTAACAATATTGAAACAAAACATCGTCTGGCAGCTAAATAACAATATTAAATTTGCTTATTTATGTATTTTATTTTCACATGCATTCTTTACATGCGTATTTATATCCTTATTTTTCTACTTAGAATTGATATGTTTGCATTTATTTCTTTAGTAGGAAAAATCCTAAGAATTTGAAAACGTATACCTACTTTATACATAGTATTCTTTTCTATACATTTAATTTATATCTTTTTTCATTATTAATTATAGACTTCTGTACAATCAGAGTATCTCAGTCCAGCGAGAAAATATATCATTTCGACAGACGACATCCAAAAAATGACAGGAAAAATGATATGGTTTTGAATTAAATTGCCAGATTATGATGCTCATAGGTATATTTTTTTCGCTGGAGAGACCATATTTTATGACGTTTTAAATAATGAAGGAATAAATACCATACGATCTATAAAAAAACAGCGTCAAGGCCGGCTGGGAAATGACAATCGATGGTAATTTTGGCGAGGTCAAGCCCAAGACGTCATTTTCTTAGCCCGTGCTCTTCTTTTAATGGCGCTGCCAGTTGGCCTTAAAAATTACCTTTTCTATTGAGTAAAAATTATTTTTAAATGGTGTAGTTTAAAATTTGGGAAAAAATAATTTTTTGGGAATAAATTTGGGTCTGAAATTTGAAAACGTCTTCCTGTAATACGTATTCCTTCTATAATTATTAATGTTCATTTTTGGCAAGGTTTATGTCAATTTTTAGTAAATAATGTCTAGAGATTGACCTCGCTAAAATTATCATCGATTATCCAGCCGTCTTTGACGTCGTTTTTTTTTTAAATCATATGATATATAATAAGTATTTTGTATACAGTTTAGTTAAGAAATATAAATCGCAATTAGTATTTCGAAATTTGTTTTGTCTAACATGAAATACTTAATAACTGCTAATTTTAGCTATATAGCTCATTGCATACTCGATAAATTATTTTGCAATGCAGCGATTTATTATAAATGAAAGTAACTAGTAAACGTATTCCATCTAGCACAACTGAATGAGGTTGAAAATATATTATTTATAATATATTCTAGCATATTCAATTAGCTTTGTTATTTATAGAATTTTAGCATGAAATTGCATACATTAACTTTTTTTGTATATTTTAAAAGAAAAGAATAACAGATTAGAAACAGTTAATACTAACTAAAATGCCTTTTCTTATAATAAGAGCATTAATAAACACATTAACGAAAATGTTTTTGTAAACTTTTTTTTGTAATCTTTAAAAAATTTAAGCATTTTTTAGTGAGTTAATTCATTTTACACAGGGTGCTACAAATTCTAGGTACGAGCATTTGGGATTGGTATCTCGGTAACCGTAACACGGTTAACTTAGGGCAAAGTTGCGCTTTGAGTTGTTCACCAAGAAAAACAAAAATGCCATCAAAAGAGTTTTAAAAAATTCAAGGAGATTTGCCGAGTTTTTTGGGAATAACTGATTTTTTGAAAATCAATTTTATTTTTTCCTGTCGTTACTTTTTAGAAAATCAAAAAACTAACGTCATTTGTAAAAGTGAAATCAATATATCTCAACATTTACAATAAAGAGTACAAAATGCATTCGGAAGTATAAGAATAAAATTTAAATAGCTATTAATAAAATTAAACGAAAAATAAATTTCTGCAATAGGGAGGGTGGTAACCCTTACGAATATATAGCGCACTAAAAGCTAGTTTGTAGAAGTTGATTTATTTATAACAACTACGATTAATATTATGCATATTATTAGATCGCACACTGAGATTTCAAATTCACAATAAAAAAGTTGAAAATAATATTTTTAAATTTCTGACCTGAATATTATTTTATTTGAATCTTCCAATTGGTTCAAATTTCCTTATTCGATATTAATTAGCGCTGATCAATATTGTTGCGATGAATATAATTAGATTAAATAATTTAAAAAATCAGAGTCGGACTTATTTTAAATAATAATTAAATAGTTTTGTTGTTCTTGAGGTACCCAAAACAAAAAAAAGTTTAAAATGTGGCATAGAGATGGGGACATTCCGGGAATCTTATTTTGAGGGAATGTTCCTGGGAACGTTCCCAGGAACGTTCTCCAAATCGGGAGAGTGATGGGAATGGAAAAAATTTTTAATGTTATGAAAAATTGGAAACTTTCCGGGAAGGTTCCCGGAAATATTCCCCAAAGGGCAGAAAAGTGATAAAGTTAAGAAAATATAACTTTCAAAATATATTTAATAACAACAAAATTATATATAAATAACAACAGAAGCAACACAAGTCGATCAAAGAAACAAATTTAGGTTATGTTTATAACCTAGTTTCTCTTCTTCTTTTTATTTGTGGTGTGGCCTGTTTACAACTTTTCCAATGTTTTGATTACTTTCCCTAAATTTAAGAAAAGTTTCCGAAAAGTGGGGAATGTTCCGAGGAATATTACAACTCGCATCAAAATACAACTTTCCCGAATTTCAGTCACTTTCCCGACCTTAGAGGAACGCTCCCGGAACATTCCCGGAACATGGGCACGTTCCCTGAGGCACGTTCCGACTTGCACATCACTAATGTGGCATATCATTGTACTCAGGAGACCGAGTTCTTTCAGAACCTGAAATAAAAAATGCAGGTCCGTATTAAAAAAATAAGTTGGCCTCTGTATCTCATAAATTATCAGCTAATTTGAAAATCTAAAAATACTATCAGATAGCCCTAATAAAGTGGCTATGAGAATGTGCAATTTTATATTTTTGATTTTCTAAATAGTAACCAGAAGAAGAAATAAAATTTATTTTCGAAAAAATCCGTTTTTTCCAAAAAACTCAGCAACCCTTGAAATTTTTAAAACTTTTTGATGGAAACTTGGTAAACATCCTAAAGCTCAACTTTATCTCAGTTTATCCATGTTCGTATCTCTTACGGTTACCGATATACCAATGCATACCTCAAATTTGTAGCAACCTGTATTTCGAAAAAATAATTTAAAGTTATTTATACAAGATGATAAAATGGTATTTTATCGTCGAGCGGGAAAAGATTAATTCACGAGCGATGAAATCGCGAGTGAATTAATTTCGGGAGACGATAATGCAATTCTATCGTCGTGTATAAAACAATATTTTTTCCATAGCGAGTTTTGTTTTAAAAAATATTTAGAAATTATTATTTCAAGGAATTTATTACGAGTAGAAAAAAGGTCGTGCTGGGTTGGCGTTGGTTTCTATGTAATTTGACAAATAAATAAAGTCTCTTTAGTTGTCAGTTTTGAGTCAATAATTTTTAATTCTCTTTCGTGTCTATTGCTGATTGAATTGGAGCCAGAAACAGCTCAAAACGAAAAAAGTAAATTACCAACTGATATTCAGGCTGAGGCGACAAACGCCATATCCAAACTACTTCCAATTAAATCCCGAATAAATTAAGAAAAGGAATACAAACATTTTCAAAAATGAAAGCAATTAAAAAACGTGCGAGAAGAAATAAAGTTTTTAACCCATCCTCGCTGTTAAAGTATCATTGCAGTTAAAGTACTATTTAATCTACTATTTTTGATAGATATAAGGCAATTTTAACAGTTACTATGGAAAAAAATCATAAATTACTTAAATTTCAAGTCTTAAGTCAGCTTTCATGCCATGAAAATGATTTAAATAAAAAAAGACTTAAGTTTGCTGTGAGATTGCAGCTAGCTCTTACACATAGTCTATGTTAATATATCTATTAAGTTAAGGAACCAACTTAATAGATATTAACATATGTATAAGTATATCATGAAATTGCTTAACCCACATTCAGGATTTGATCCGCCAATAAAGTTAATAGAAAACGAGTCTCCCTCGTAATTTGAAGTCGGTACCAGACCAGAAAACAATAGGAAACAAACAGATCCGCGTCTGTATCATTGACGCGCCTAAAAAATGGAACCGGCTTGGAGGGCGCACCGCACCGTTCTTTGTGTTCTACATTTACTAATCGTACCTATATGCTTTTTCGAGATGGAGACCAAAAAAGCCATCGTGATTTTACGGGCAGTACCATGGCAATACCATTTCGTAAACAATATCGCATTGTTCGATCGAATTATCAAGGCCGACGGCGCTTTTATATAACCCACCAAATAAGTTACCGAAAACCTTTAATTTAGTTTTTGTTGTTGTTGTTATTGTTATACCGTAACGGATTGTTGGGTCATAGTAACATTGGTCTTAGATCGAGTGAAAGTACGTTAAAGACTATATTTAATATAAATCGAGGTATATTAAATAGAGTATGTATATGGTATACCTATTTTGAAGAACAAAACTAATTATTTAAGTTCCTTAACGGGATATGTTTCTACTCTACCATGTATATAATTCGCTGGTTTTGGCAAAATCTCACAACACGTATAGCAAGTTTGTTAAAACAATACAAGGAACTCCACAAAGTAGAGTAACCTCTTCCCTACTGTGGCGCTTGGTAGTGAACAGAAAGTACTAGATAAATTAACTCTAGCGGGAATACATTGCATAGGGTATGCAGATGACATAGTCATGATCGCTCGGGGAAAGCATGAGGGCACTCT